AAAAATGAAACAGTAACCACGTGTAACTTGATCCTTGTGCGTCCATCCGGCTGAAGGAATGGCGCTTTTCAATAAAATGGAACAATGACTACGTGTCCCTTGTTACAAACGTTTTGTAATGTGACCGTTGTGTGTTTTATATTTGTAGTTGTTCTTGACTGATTGATGTGTGAACCGAGTCTTTTGGTTCCTGTTTCGATTAATGTCACAAATCGTATAGTTGATACTTGATACGGAGTTTTTAATCTTATGTTACTATTTAACCTTTAAAGCTTTTCATTATTTAACGGATTGACTCCTCCACCAACAACAAATGATAGTAACAACGTACAGTACCTCACAAGTCTATTACAGTAATTGACACGTAAAACAGACCATAGAAATAAAATGCCGTTTGACAAGGTGTTGACCCGAGCGAATAATAATTCTTTATACACAAAGCAAACCTTTGAACCCTCACCTTTTAAACTTGCGCAGCTACGGCGCTACGCCAATAATTCACTTGCCTTTTATAATAAAATTTGAACCCTCAGCTTTAAAAGTTGTGTCACTTGTGGCCTTTTACTGTAATATATGAACTCAGTTGTTTCTAATCTTCATAGCTTTAATAATTTATGCTTGACCTTAAACAATTTTTATATCATATTACGTGCGGGGACTTCAACACCCCCCATTGTTTTTGCGATATTGCCCACCAATGCTTTGCGGGCAAAAAAATTAAAAACTTAAATTTCTCTGCCTCTGGTATATACCTTGGTATATACCGATCATATTACGTGCGGGGACTTCAATATATGCCTCCTCGGGTTTTGCCCTGCTGTGGCAATTACACGAATTAATGGCCATTTTGAAACCTCTGTTTATCGTAAACCAACATTCACAGGTCTTTTCACTAATCTTCAGAGCTTCACTCCTCTACAATTTAAACGTGGTTTAATATATTCACTATTACACCGTTTTTTTGAATATTTGCTCTAACTATGAGAATTTCCATGCTCAGATTGAGTTTTTTAGAAAAATCTTCAACCAGAATGGTTATCCTACTCGTCTCTTTGATCGTTGTGTTTGACTCTTTCTTGATAAAACCTTTCAACCTAACGAATTAATCCATTCTGTATCAAAGATAGACTTGCCACAAGTCGACCATGGGGGAGTGAGGGCGCGGGGAAGGGAACGCGCGACCCGAGCGACGTATCAAAGAAAGTGGTATACTTTTGTCTCCCATATACCGGAACACCCACTCTCCAAATCCGTACCCAAATTCAACGCCTTTGCTCTGTAGCCTTCCCACATATAAGCATCAGAATCGTGTTTCGTCCCACTCTACGTTTGTCCAATTTCTTCATGTTTAAGACAAAATTCCCGATGCTTTGAGGTCTTGTGTAGTTTATTATTTTAAGTGTCGATGCTGTTTCGCGTCGGATGTGGGCCAAACGGTCCACCATCTACATACAGTACACGAGTCTCTGAACACCTCAGTAGATATTTCTGCCTTAACTGGTAAGACGAGCAGGAGTCCTCAACTTACGAGCATCTTTTCCCATCTGAGCCACTCAGGTCATACTGCTCCTCTTGATGATTTTAAGATTCCATCTTCCTGTTCCTCTCCAGACGAACTTCTCGTCCGTGACTATATCTCAAAGCTCAAACCTACTTTGAATCAGCAAGGTAGCTCCATTCCTCTGACTTCTTTCCTTTAACCCCCCCCCCTCATCCTCTGCTTTCATCACGGAACATCACTTCCTAACATCCTATGAAGAATATAGTAGTGTTCGAGAAAACTTTTTAAATTACTTGGAAACTGATCCCACCAATGAAACAGATTTAAACGAACACATTTTATCAGTTGAGTTAATGAAATCAACTGATAAAGAAACCGTGATAAAATTATCAAAATTTATCTCTTTATGTTTTGAAAAGAGATCTAAACGCCTTGAAGCTCGGAATGCTGACAGTCAATAGGCTATCTAACTAACTCCCAAACTTCTTCAATTAGGAAGATACTGTAAATAGAGTATTCATTTGCAAACTAGGTCTTTCTTTATATCAATATCTTCATTTTTGTTTCTTGTATTACTCACAGTGTCATATTACCACAAAACATTTTGCATTTGTAAATATTTATAATTAACTAATAAGCTTTAGCAATACTTATATGTAAAGTCATGCTAATAAAGCCATTTGTTACTGATCTCAATCATGTGGACGATCCAGTGCAAATTAAACTGTAAAACTATTACCTTGTAATTTGATATTGTAAATAGTAATTTAATCATATTTGTAACTCATTGTCATACTATATTCATTTACTCTGAACTGATGTCTTAAGTCAAAGACGAAACGTTCTTCTCAAATAATTTTTTTGTCTATATCCTTGTCTATATATGGCTCTTTTGCGCACGTTATATTACGATTACGATTCCCGCCTGGTTCATCATTTGCAAGCAACTGAGGAACATTTTACTATTTTAGTGATTTACATCACATCATTTGTGACTTGTGGGGATGAGAATTCAGAAAATATCATATAATACACACTGGGGAGAATATTTGTGCAGATCGAAGAATTAAATCTTAGGCTTAGCATTGAAGCATTCATATTTCATAATTAATATTCGATATCAGATCTTCCACTGAAATCAGTTTTCGTCTGTGACATAATAACTTTCAGATTATCATACTAAAATAGCGTTTAGCAGACCCTATTAAAAACAACAAATATTTCCCGCGACCATAGCCCCGGATGATTAGACCCACACTTAATTTTCAGCAGCTTATCTAAATATTGCAAATGTGTAAAATTTACACTCGCAATTTCCATCTACTAAATCCTTCAACAGACTAGTTGGTTTAATCAAGCGAGATGCCAAAAATCCAATGAACTCTGTAGCACAGTTGGTTTGAGTGCTGGATTGGATTTGCAGGGCCTTAGGTTTGATTCCGGCCAGAGGGCCTATATATAGTTGCATTTTTCACACCTCCCCTTATTAGGTTCCATCTACAAAATCCCGACACCACATAAATTTATTACTGCAAGAATAAATTTACGTAGTGTTTCCACAAACAAAAAAGTATTATAAAATAGCTCCTGTCACATAATGAAACAGCAACGTGCAACATTAATTGCATCCAAGCACCATGTGCACAGTCTGAAATTTATATTTTTTCTCAAACTATCCAACTGGCATACCAAGATTCAAAGTTTAAGTATCCCCCTGAGAATCCCTCCGGTATCCCACTTCTGATCCTGGGTACTGGTTTGCGGTACCATAAGTATTATACCCCGTCCCATCCAAATAAGTTTCCATAACTCTCATGCACTGTTACAAATTTAACAACACCGTGAGACTCAACACTCAACAGTCAACAACAAAACAATTCATTAATACACTAAAACGCACATAATCCTTCAACAAACTTCTATATGCTAGTCCTCGATGAGAAAAGACTGATTGCAAACTGATAGTATTCAAAGGCTATCAGGAGCCCGTCATGCAAAGGTGTTTAACATTTTCTTAAAGTTTGAAATTTTCTTAGTATGCGCACAGTCGTGATAAAAGTCATTCACAGTTTGGTATCCAAAACCAAATTTTTGGTATCCCATGGATAGAACAAGATACTGCAAATTTCAGACTCTGAATTGTGTGGTGATTACATTAAATGAGGTCATTACGACCTGCAGGTCGTTGATATTGGCCCGTTCTGAGCCCCAACTTTCCATGGGGTCGTGAGCGAAACTGGTGTCCCACCCCTAAATTATTTCCACCTCCCCCACTAGGCTATTTCCACCAAAATCCGGCCTTGGACTAAGGTTTCAGAATTGTATTGAACTCTGATCAAAGGTATTTGTTTTTTACTTAAAACAAGTCTGAAGTAGCACTTAAGTTAGTATACATCATGCGTAAAGTACTCCAAACCACTTGAAACGTTTTATGTGTTAGTGTCATTGTAATACGCGGAAATTATCCCCTTGAGTGCAAGGAAGCCAAGGAAGACACATATATTTTTACATGTATGTGCTGATCACATGCATATACATGTCACTCAGTCCAACAAACATTGCGTATTAGAAATATGCACAAAACATACAGCAACATTTTTGTTTGTGTAATATTTTAGAGTGATATTGGTATAAACGATCATCATCAAGAAACAATCATAAATTACTTGAGGTTTGCCCGATACAATCGTGGACAGTGTTTACGTTCTGTGGATGCATGCTTCGAAGAATATAAAGACAGTCAGTAAGTCGATTTGTGCATTTTTAAGTATATAAAGAAGCAAAGTCTGGGGTTTCCAATACAATTTTGAGCATACAGGAGGCTTTTTGAAAGATGTATAGGCGATTCTCCAAGGTACCGCCCACTTGTTTACGTAAAAATATACAATTCACTTCACAAGCTCTAGACAAGTTGTGTCCACAGTGGACAATTTGCTGTAAATGTTAAGTTACGTATACAGTAAAACAACAATTGTCTCAAATAACATTTTTTATGCACATTACTAGTACAGGTAATAATAGTAATAATAATATATATATATATATATATATATATATATATATATATATATATATATATATATATATATATATATATATATATATATATATATATATATATATATATATATATATATATAATTCAGTTTCTTTGAACGTACACATGTATGTAGTGAAGAGTGCTCAATATTACAAAATAGAGCGATTTATTAATACTTAAAATGTTTTTGTTGCTACTCCGAGTTTCATGCCGTAAAGGCAATCATCAGACAACAGTTTTTGCTTCTGAATATATATATATATATATATATATATATATACATATATATATATATAGGTATGGTAATGGTTTCGAGTGCAATTTGGATCGAAAACGTGCACAAGTAAGGTTTTGTTAAAGAGCATCAAAATAGTAGGATATTTTCCGATTTTCACGAGAAACAAATAGACAACTTGCATGCATGTTAGAATCATTTTATCTAGGGAAAAAAGTAATTTCCCGTAAAGTTAAGAACTTATTAAAGTTAGTAAATTTGCCAAATTTGGTTACGAAATGTTGTAAAATACGGAAAATATGGCCTTGCGAAGTTTGCCTATTTTGCACATGTTTGCATTACGTGCGGAAATTGTTACCATTTTTAAGCCGAAAATGGTAGCAATTTCCGCACCTAATACAAACATATACAAAATTTGAAAACTTCGCAAGTAATTTCATTATGTTCTTTTCATTATTGTTCTGTTGTGTTTGATTCCCTTCTCTTTACTCAGATCTAAATTTAGTCTGACATGCACGTTGTCCATTGCATGCCTATATACTAAATTCGATGTCATGCAGGAGTATTTTTATTTCATAATCTCAGAAAATATACGTTGTCTAGTCCGTTATCAAGTCTAAAATAACCAAAGCTGAGATTAATAAAACTACTGATTCTCTAAATTTATAGTGTGGTAGAAGATACTTATACTTTAGAAGAAGTACTGGAAATGCTTGAAAGCTTGCAGTCTGTTGTTAGAGGAGAAGTGGAGTCGGAGCTTATAAATACTGCACACACGAACGTCTTATTATTAAGACAGGTATTTTCTCAAGCTGAGAAATGGTACCTGAATCTACAAGCTGATATATCTGAATTGGAAAACAGGTACGATTGCTCCTGAAAATCTACTAAACTTGACATAGTTATTTTTGATAGAAGGATTCGTAGTGAAATTTTACTACCAAAAACGTACATCATAAACCCCAACCGAACGCATAATACAATTAACCTGTCAAAATTTTTCTATACATGCACTATACTGGAAGAAATATAGAGTAGTGTAGTGAGTCCTTTTAAACTGTTAAACTGAATATAAAATTTTTTGTGGTCGTTAAAATGTATGATGCTTATAAAGGGAACTTATAGAAGAAATTGCGAAGTTTGAAGAGAGAGAATTCTCAGCAAAGAAGTCAGTTTCCCAGGTATAATATACGTGTACAATGTGCTATATACATATAAGTTGCTCGCGCATACGTGTGTTGCGATTGTAGTCAAATATATAGGGTTATAATAAGTTCCAAGGATTTATAAATCTCTGTAATTAAATACTAGAACACTAGTTTTGGCTGATTCTAAAGCCGTATACGATAATCATTGTACAGTGTTTGTTCTAGTATAGAACAAGAAATTCAGGTTTGTTCTATGATCTAGCGCACCGTATTGCTGATAGTTCTGCCTTCGTGATACAAACAGAAATGAGGAATATGTCTTTTTTATCTGTGAAAATCAACCACTGCATGTAAACAATCTTTAACTGTCTGTGCCAGTGTAGGTATGGTGCCAATAATATCCTTTACACTTTTTTGCCTCCGAATTTCATCCAAATTTGCTCAGTTTATAACCAATCGAATTATGGTTTTCCCGCCCTTTAATTATTGTAACATCTTTGTTACACACCTTATACTCAGTTATACTGTACCATTCAAAAGGCACTGACTATACGAATGCCCAACGCTTACATATGTCAAAATCGGCTTTGGGAATGGCAGGTAGTACATCGTAGGTCGAATCCTGCATGTATATGATATAACTATGGAAGTTACAAGAAAAAAATTTAAAAATTGTAAACGCAAATGAGTCTTTTCTGTTGTTTTGATATATATTCATTCTTTTTAGACGTCGGCTTCTTCCAAGTTAGCACAAAAAACAAAGCTTGTACCCCTCAGCGATGGTAGTGGGTCTGCACTACTGCAAATGGTAAGCATATTCTAAATAGGGAACGAATGAGTCTTAGTCTACGTGTATAGTACTTTTGTACCTAAACGTACAATCTGTGTGAAACGTACTGCATAAAACTTGATGATATTCAACTTCAGCAAGGTGCAGAATACATAGTTGATTAGTTGTTGCGCAAACGTAGCGTTTTATTACTTCCATCCATTGAAATAAAAATTGTAAGTTGTATACTTTCCAAATCTTATCGTCGCCATGCATGCAGTGCTGCATGGAAAATGTCCGTCAGCGCCAGCAGCTTGCCTGCTCCCAGGAATTTTTTGCGAAATAAATATCATCCCTGGAAATTTTCTTCCATCTCACAGAAAATGTTCGTCCTCTCTATTATAGTGTATAATATTATATTAATACTGGAATTCCATATACTGTAATTTACTACTTACGCACCACAAGTATTTCTAGCCCTTAAATTTGCTGCTGATGCATGGTGACTTACATGCAGTATATTAGTATCGTGGGGCATATACTTGGAAAAGATACACAAGACAGACAAGCATTTCATAGACGTATAAATAAACACTATATGTATTCGTGATATAACGTATAATTTGTTCAATCACAACAACAGATGCTTCGAAGTCGCCATGCCTGCAATGTTGACATTATTGACACTAGCACACACGTGACTAGAAAGTTAGTTAAGTATTTTAGAAGCACGAGGCTAGGGAACCGGGAAGTAATTGGATACGTACTATGCTGTTTGTACAAGTTGTTTGATATCTATTGTTATACTTAAAAGTGCTTGACATTGATACAAAACCACGAACATTACATTGGCGACGAGGTAAACAAACAAACAAAAAAAAAAAACAGCTATCGTTTATCAATACAAACGATTTTGAAATCTCTAGTTTACGAATACAGTCATGGCGACTGGCCGAATCAATGTAGCTCCAATGGCGCCATTTGATCCCATGTCCGATCCAAACTCTCTCAGTCAGCGCTGGAAAAAGTGGAAACGACGATTTGAAACATATCTTGTTACTCTGAATGTGACTGAAAAGAAACAAAAGCGGGCTCTCTTGTTGTACCAAGCTGGCCAAGAGACTCAGGATATTTTTGATACCCTTGTTGATATCGGCGAAGACGACGACTATGATTCCGCTATCGCTGCCCTCGATACGTATTTTTCACCTAAAAAACATGTCGATTTTGAAATTTTTAAGTTTCGTGAAGCCAAACAACAACCACATGAAACAATCGATCAGTTTTCAACTCGTCTTAGGAAGCTGGCGGCAACCTGTGACTTCGAAAATATCGACAAAGAAGTAAAATCGGCCATAATTCAAAACTGTTTATCGAAACGTCTACGACGCTACGCCCTGCTTGACTCGGAAGTTACGCTAGCCAAGATTCTCGCAAAAGGCAGAGCTTTTGAACTCAGTGAATCGCAGGCAACCGGCATTGAAAACGCACTTGACTCAACACATATTTCTGACGAAGTAGTTGAAGCTGTCCATCCTACAACGAACCATAACAACCATCGTGATAAACAACATACATCGTTTCACCGCCAAGACTTTTACACCTCATCAGAGTGTCGGAATTGTGGGGGGCCCTGGCCCCATAACAACAATATTTGTCCCGCGAAGGGAAAATCTTGTCTGAACTGTGGAAAATCAAACCATTTTGCGAAAGTCTGTCGTAGTGCTCGCAAGGCTCGCGTCGGTCAACAAGAGAATCGAAGGCCTTCAAAAAAATACCACAAAAACAAAGTTCACAAGATTTATGGCAAACCCTCCAGCAGTGAAAGCAGTAGCGAGGATGAATTTATTTTTACTCTGAAACCGACAGGTAGAGACAAAACAACTCCACAGGTTCAAATCTCGGTCAACACCTCCCCTATCAACATGGTTATCGACACTGGTGCTTCCATCGACATCATCGATGAACTTGCTTTCAACACCTTGCAAAAACAGAGACCCATAGCCCTTCAACGTTCCAAAACACGTATTTTTGCATATGGGGCTACAAACCAGCTACCTGTTATGGGACAATTTCGTGCAACTCTAGAATGTTTGACTGGTGCAACAACCACGCAAGTTCATGTTATCAAAGGAAATTTTGGTTGTTTGCTAAGCTATCAAACGGCATCTGCTTTGGGTCTAATCATGCTGAATGTTAACAATGTGAAACCGGAACATGCCACCCATGAACAACTGATGAAAGAGTATGCCCATCTGTTCAACGGAATTGGCACTCTTAAAAATTTTTAAGTTAAATTGCACATTGATGATACTGTCCCTCCAGTAGCACAAACCCCCCGTCGTATTCCTTTCCACATGCGGCAAAAGGTCTCAGATGCGCTCGACACGTTAGAAAGTGATGGAATTATTGAAAAAGTATCAGATGCCACTCCTTGGGTCAGTCCATTAGTTGTTATCCCAAAAAAAGATGGTGAGATCAGGCTATGCATTGATATGCGCATGGCTAATCAGGCAATTCAACGCGAAAGACATCCGACCCCAACTGTGGATGATTTAATTCACAAATTAAACGGCGCCACCATATTTACAAAGCTCGATCTTCGCTCGGGATACCACCAGTTATCTCTCGCTGAGGAAAGTCGACACATAACCACATTTGTAACGCACAAAGGACTCTACCGCTATAAGAAGTTGAATTTTGGCACCAATTCGGCAAGTGAAATCTTCCAACATGTAATTAGCGAACAAATCCGTGACATTCCGAATGCCATCAACATTAGTGATGACATAATTATCTTTGGCATAACCCAAGCTGAGCATGACAAAGCTCTTCATGAAATTTTTAAGCGGTTTTCACTCATTGGATTAACCTT